AAGAATATTCTCGCTTGGAACAAGTAGCATCACAACCGCTTCCTATTTCATAAACAAACCTAGATTATCATGTTATCAGTTATCATATAAGTATAATAAAGCAATTAGGGGTTCTTTAAAAAAAGTGTTTATTTGACTATGCATTTATGCTCATGTTACACCTAATTTTATTTTGAAGGCCGCCGCCAGGCGGCCATAGTGGTACAGTTCTAGTTATATATATATATATATACGTATATATATTATTTATTAGCTATACCCACATTAATTTTTCTAACAATTTTATTAATTAATACATACTTATGTATGATTCGAATTGATGACGAATTTATTTTACTAAGTAAGTAAAAAAAAAAAAAATCTTATTTTATTATTATACTAACATACTTATTTATTTTAGTATATGGATCAGAAAATAAACAGATTCTGCTACAAAATATTAAGGAGTACTTGAAAAAAGTTTTAAAAGACTTTACATTTTTTAGGAAAAAAATCAGAGTCAAATGAACATATAAAAAAATTAGGTGTTAATGCATGGAAATTTATACCTGAATCAAGAATTTTATTAAATGAAATCGTAATCGTAAGCGATGAAAATGACAAAAATACTAACAACAATACCTTCAAAAAAGATCATAAGTGTGTTGAAATTGATTTTAATACTAAATTTGATGTAATGATACAAACAAATTATCCTTTACTCAATATTAACAATACAAACAATATACCATCGGATACTACTGCTTTAAATATAAGTAAGAATTATTAATATCATTCTTATGACTGTATTTTATTAATTTTATTAACTCATTACCGCCATTCCCTAACAGGTACTCTTTCCACCTCATTACCAGCAAAATATTGGTTTTATTACTATGAAATAACAATCCTGTTAAATGAGAATAATGATAAAACAATAATTGCTATTGGTCTCGCTTCAAAAAATTATTCAACTAACAGGTACGTGTTTTCTATATGATGATTTCATTTTTATCTGAATGACTACTAATTTTGTTTTATTTAAGATTACCCGGGTGCAATATTCATTCAGTTGGATTTCATTCAGATGAGGGTAGAATATTCCACAATGAAAAGTATACTGGATCAAAGTATGCTGAAAAATGGGGTGAAGTAAATGATGTGATAGGTTGTGGTTATTATCCAAATACTGGTCAAGTTTTCTTTACAATGAATGGTAAAAATTTGGATACCGCTTATACTGGTTTATTTCATACTTGGTATCCCACAATTGGTTCTAATGGTACTTGTAAATTAAAAGTTAATTTTGGTCAAGAAGAATTTATGTATAAGGAAGCTAATGGTATGAGTGTTGCCGGTATCATTTCTTAATGAATTTATCGATAAATATGAACTTTTAAATCTTTAAATTTTATTATTTTTTTATGTCTCAATTATCCTTACAAAATTTTATTTTATTTACTTATCAATTGTATTTCTTAGCCTCTAAATAAATATGTTTTATTTCTTCTTATAATCCAATTTTTTTTTTCAAATGTGATGGATAAAGGATTTAATTTTCTTCTAAGGACCCATCCTCATTTTGCGTAAAGATCTCATGATCTGCAATTCTGGACAGAACTACTGCTGTAGTAATGCCGGCTTATACTAGTCAGAATTTATGCGTGAGAAATTTTGATGAAAATTGATGAGGAGTCATTTGGGATGATTAGTTAAAATAACTTGATAAAGGTAATTATCTAATGAATCATATTTTTTATTTATTTTTTCTTTGAATACACGATATTACAAGATACTTCAATTGAATTAATTTACTGTGATGTAATAATTCTAGATGTCTGTAAAAAAAAATGCGTTAAATTTTTTAATTTATTAAAAAAAATAAAAGAAATTAAAAAATGAGAAATAAATACCCGGTTTCTTTTTTGATAATGAAATAATAAATATATCTATAATAAAAAAAAAAACTTTTAAACGCAAAAAAAAAGCCTACTATTTCTTTAACATCTTCCCAGTTACTTACATCCCCACCATTTTCATTTTCTGAAATCATTATTAATAATAACCTGTAATTACTGTAACTTATAAAAAAAAAAAAAATGTTAAGCTAAAATCATCCGGAAAATGTCCGTGCGTCTGGAAAACGTCCAGGAAATTGCAATATTCCGGACACTTTCTGAACACTGGGCCTGAACCCTCCTAGACATTTTCTGAATATTTTCTGGAAAATGGAAATTTTTCAACGTCCGGAATATTGCAATATTCCGGACATATTCCAGACAAATGAACATTTTCTGGACGTTTTTAGCTACAATTTCCGGACATTCTTTTTTTATAGGGTTAAGAAAGAGAGTATACGGCCAACTCTCCATAAAATGCATCTTCTATAAATGCACCTCAAACGCCCTCTTGATACTTCATTGTATGTAAAAAAATTTCCATAATCACCCTTTTTGATGTTGCCTGTGGCTGTGTAAACAAAATCTGAAGATATAATTATCTCATAATATACACAAGCCACAGTTCGACTTATATGATTCATATTTAAACAGACGAATGAAATTCTTTCGTTAAAAATTTTATTAATTACGTTCTTGACAATAATAAATACTGTACATAAAAAGTACGTAATTGTTTAATAAATAAATATAAAGGAATGTAATTGGTTAAAATATTCATCTACGGAACTATACAACATACATTTAGTCATCTACAAATAAATAAATAAATAAATAATTTATCTTATATTTGGGTACAAATTCCAAGTTTTCCAGGTGGTGGAGCAGGAGTAGCAGTAGGTGGTTTGTCAGGTGGTGGAGGATTATTCGCAGGAGTACCTAATAGGCCTAGTTCCGGTGCTGCAGGTCCATCGCCACCCTCTGTTACTGTGAAGACTGAAGACTGGGCCGATACCTTTAATTGTAGGATCAGACTTAAGACCGACTTCAGTTACATAATTAGTTCCAGGTATATATTTATCGTCGATTGGTATTGGTATGCTTCCATTATTATGAGTGGACTAATTTTTTATGTGAACAGAAATTTTATTAAAATGTAAATAAATTACTTGAACACAAATTGGATTTAAAGCATTACATACGTCTGCGCTAAAGATTGGTGTGGTACTACCTTGTGTATGAGTAGTGACAATTACTGGCTCTAAATATCAAAATATTTGTTTAAAACAAAGAAATATGATAATTTGATATATAAGAATATTTTCTTTATTTTACTAACGATCAGAATCAAATCCTGTCGAACACAAAGTAGCAACTAGCTGAGATCCAACAGACCAAGGACCTGCACCAGGTCCAACTATGACAATTTTTTTCTCTCCACCAGCAGGAGGAGGAGCTGGATGAGCTTGTGGTAGAACAAGAGCAATTAACACTGCAAAGACTAAAGTAAAAATAGCAGGTTTTCATTCTTTTGCTTTTTTACTAATTTTTTACTCGATATATTTATGAAAAGGAAAGAAGAGAAAAATAGCGTGCCTATATATATCTTTTTGTTTTTTTTTGTTTCTCAAGTATTTTGATCGCTTTTTTTTATCATCTTTCGTACAAGATTAATATAATGAATTCATATTGCTGTATCTACTGTAATGTGGTTTTTCCGAAAAAAAGCCATGAATTTTATTATCATATTGTAAGATTGATCAAAATAAAAAAAAACCTAGCCTTTACAAAAAGTAAATTTAAAACTAAATGATGGCTTAGTTCCGTATATTTTTTTCTAACAATCAAAGATTTTTTTTTTTTTTTGATTATATTCCTGAGCTAAAAAAGTATGGCTTATAAATATTTAATTTTTTTCCTTTTTAGGAATATTTTGATCTTAATATTATGGGCTTATGGCTTAGTAGATGTATATGGCTAATGTAATAAATTTGGCTAATGAATTTAATCAAAACACCCTGACTAACCGTTGTTTGGCCAATTGCTTAAAACATGATCATTCGAATGAAGAATTTTTTTTAAAAAAAATCAAAATAATTTTTTTTTAAACACATTAGTTTTTTAAATAATATTTTTATTAAAAAGAAAATAATTTTTTCAGGACACTCGGCAAATTTTCCAGCTTTAGGCCATAGCAATGATAGTTTTGGCCGAACTGACAGATTTTGACTTGTCATGCAGTTGGCGGCACGTACTCGGCAACAAAATTTACCGAGTGTCTCGTGACTTATGAAAAACAGCTGTAACATGATCGGTCAAACGGTCGGTCAGAATCTTTTGACCGAAAGACATCGGTCACGGTCATGACTCATGTATGACCGGTCATAACAGGTTATAACGCCATCTCTAAATACAAATTACAAAACTAAATGAAGTTTCTGCGTTTATGGTCAATTTTATTTTCATTCAACCAAATAAAGATCTATATTTCACAGGAAATTTTCCAATTATTAACTTGGTTAAATGCTAAATTTAAGGATAACATTATTTGGCGACCCATCGCCATGGTGACCCTAAAAAATATTTTATAAATTTGTGATACATGAATTTACATTATGCGGTTCAAAATTTTTTTGAAATAGTATGTTGTACCACAGGTTCAAAAATCCAATTTGCGGTATAGTTTGTTTCCAATTTACAAAATCACAATAGTCATTTTAATCTTGATACTTCTTTTCTAATGCATCATATCCCAAAAATGTCATTAAGTAAATTCAATACATATCCATTTTATGTATAATGCAAAATTAATGCTAAATATTCCTATACCCTACATCATTAAGTTATTATATTGCTAATTTAGTACCCCTCCATTGCTAATTTAATTACACCAACTGAAAATAATTTATCTGTATAGTCGTTACTTTTAAAAATATCAGGAATTATTTCTTTTTCAAATAAGTTTTTGCCATTATTGTTCTTTCTTTCATGAAATTTTTTGCTGCAGCAACTTTTTTGTCTTTACACCATTCTTTAATATTATTAGAGGCAATGCATGGTAAATCCAAATTTTACAAATAGCCAATAAACTATTTTGTGCAATGTAACCTCACTGATCTTGGAACTATTTTTAATGACTATAAATTATTATAATAATCAATTAATTATTTTTAATAAATTACATAAATAATAATATAATATTATTACTATACAGTACCTCACTTTGTACTTGTGACCAGAATGCATTTTTTGTTTTTTACTCTTGATTCATTGAAATTCGCTCAGTACACCCTCCTTAAGTTCTTTTAAACTCGGATACTTGCTATGGGCACAAATACTAAGCACAACACTTTGAAATATTGACTTATATAACAGAAAAACGTTATTGTAATTATAATAAACAAGTCACATAATTACATATATTCTACTTACTTTATACCAATAACCTTTCCAATAACATTTGTTAGTCTTGTATCAAATTCTTTATATTTATGTTGAATATTTAATAGTTGTTGATGAATTACTCATTGGTTTTAGAGTATATATTGTAGCCATCCAAAGTTTAACAGAAGCATTCCATTGATGTGAATCAAGGTTTTTGCCTAAAAATTAAAAAACTTTTTATACCAACTCCTGATAACCTCCTATATTAGCAATGAATTCTGCCAGTTATAATTAAATGAGATTATACCTTCTTTAATTTCAAGCTGATTAATATCATCTTTGCTAATATTTGTAAAACATTCCAAGTTTGATAGTTGATTATTAGTAACTTCTTCAACATTTTCATCACTAAATATCTAGAAAAATCTTCACTTTCTTCACTCTCTCCAATTTCTTCATTGTTTTCAATATTCAAATTATTATTATCTTCTTCTTGTATAATTATAGTACTTCTAGAATATTTCAATAATAATCATCTGTTACAAAAAGTTTTTTGTTATTGAAAAAAGGTAAGTTTGCCTCAAAATAATTTTATTCTAATAAATTGTTTTCAGTTTATTTAGTTTTTTTTTTTTAAAAAAAAAAAAATTAGCATCGCATTTTATTTGTTATTTTATACATAAGTACAGGACTAAATAAAATACATAGGACAACGAAAACCCTATAGCTAACAAGTCTATCTAATATAAATAATATAAAAACTACACTACAAAACACCAGACGCCATCTGATAATATCTATCTATATGAAAAAAAAAAACTAATCTGTCACTAAATCCAAAAAAAAACAAGTTACCCACTCTCTGCTCTTCCTACCCCTCGTTAACTATCTAGGGAATTTCTACGGCTTTCGCTACGCGTGCAATGGTACGCCCATACCGACCATACCCTCCTACAAAACCTAGAGACTAAGTAACTTGTGCACTGAAGCCAAACCCCGAGGCTGATTCACGTTCGAACACCCAAGGATGTTGGCGATCCATTAATCTACGAGTAGACCATACGATGACATCATCTTTTGTGCGATCGTTATGTAGTTGCGAATCCACGTGACTGATCGATTGCGCCATTATGTTGAAAATGATTGGTGCCGACGAGAATCCAAAACTTCCTAGTTTGTTGTTCCATACACGTGTAAAATTTTGTATTAGTTAGTATTAAGTATTTTACAAATTGAGATAAGCAAGTAATGTCGTACGATACAATTAAACACATGATTTATGCAACTCTCCGGTAATAAAAACTCCGTTGCAGATCTTATTTATTTAATGAACTCATTCACTTGTTTAAAGAAAAATAAAATTTTTGTTATGGCTTCTATTCGAGAAGAAAATAGTTTTTGCTGCGTATCATAGAGCATATGCATTAACAGATCATAATATTCAAAATACTCTATACAAACGATTTGAATTTAGGAAACGAACTATTCTTGCTGACAAATCTCTTACTAAAGATGAAAAATCATATGTAGTAAAATTATTAAATAAAGATTTTGACAAATTTAAGATTCTTGATAATGAAGGAACAAAAAGAATTTGTAAAAATTGTCATGATGAATGTTTAGCTACATTATATTGTGAACATTGTGTTCGAAATCATTTAAAATCAAATTTTTCAAATTGGACGTCTGGAAATAATGATATTGATAATTTAATACAACAATGTCAAATGGAAACATTTAGACCAGATAGAATAATAGAATGGATTCCATATAATAAATTACAAGATATTAAATATTTAACTAAAGGTGGATGTTCTGAAATTTATACAGCAGATTGGATTGATGGACGCTATGATGAATGGGATTCAAAAGAAAAACAATTAAAAAGAACTGGAGGACATCAAGTAATACTCAAAAAATTAGAAAATGTTGAAAGTGCTAATAGAAACTGGTTTGAAGAGGTATATAACTAAAAAATATTTTAATTAGTTATTCATAAAAATTATTTAATAATTCCTTTATTTATTGTAGAGTAAATTTCATCTAACCATAAGTAACAAATGGGTACAGGTTGTTCCATGCTACGGCTTAACAAAGGATCCGTCAGATTGCTCAGATGGAAATTACATGCTTGTAATGTTTAAATTGCATAATAATTTAAGAGAATATTTACAACAAAATCATAATAATCTTACATGGAAAAGAAGATTTCAAATCATTGATAATATTGTTGATGGAATTCGTAAAATTCACGGAGAAAATGCAATTCACAGAGATTTGCATTCTGGAAATATATTATTATTTAATGATACAATTATTCGCATAAGTGATCTTGGATTTTGTGGACCACCTGATAAACCATTAAATAGTTTATATGGAAATCTTCCTTATATTGCACCCGAAGTTATTTCTGGAAAAGAAACTCCTTTTGCATCTGATGTTTATAGTATTGGAATGCTCATGTGGGAAATTTCATCTGGGAAACCACCTTTCATTAATTGTGAACATGATTATGAACTTGCACTAAAAATAATTAATGGAATGAGACCAAAAATAATACCAGGAACTCCTTTAGAATATAAAGAATTAATAGAACAATGTTGGAATGCTTATCCAGAAAAAAGACCTGATATTAATACTCTTGTTAATAAAATAAGTGAAATTAATAGATTAAATTATCAAAATGAATCAAATGAAAACCAAAGTATATTTAGAAAATTATTTGTAAAAATTAAATTATCTAAACCAAAAGCAAATATTATTTCAAAAATAAATGATACGAACAGTTCAGATACAAGTACAAGTAGATTATTTACAAGTAAAGTTCATCAATATAGAAATCTTCCTGAACCAAAAAATGCAACTGAAGGTCGGTATAATTATATTTTTATATTTAACAAAAAAAATGTATATCATACAACGCATTACTAACATATATAATTTTTTAAATAACCATTTATATAAAATTTAATAGAAGAACAAGAAGGTATATACGTATATAAATTTCATCGTCATTATTATTTTTTTATATTTGATGTATTATTATTTAACTAATTAAATTAATCTTAAGCATTTCATAGTAACCCTTATGGCTTTAGCATTCCCTATAATAGTAAGTATTAACTAAAGTTATACAATAAATTAAACAATAATCTTACTAAATTTTTATTTTTTTAGTTGAAGATTTTGATAATAAAAGTAATAATAATATATCAAAATCAAGTAATTTATTTAAAGGTAAATAATTATTAAAATTTATATACTTATTTTTTGAAATAAAATATACAAATAATTCTCTTGGTTTAAAAATTAGGTGCTAGCAAAAAACTGTTTAAAGTATTTGAGAATAATGCAAATAAATTCAAGTAATGGTGAGTTCAATTATAATTCTAATAAATCATAATTTATAATAATAATAATTTTTTTTTATAGATAATCAAGATAATTATAAAGAAGAAACTATACAAGTCAAAAAAGTATAATATTGATGATATTAACGGTTACAGTTTGCCAAATTTTATTTTAATACTAAATTTATGAATTAAATTTTTAATTTCATCTTTTTTTTTATTAGATAATGATGTAATAATCCCGATGGTAATTAAAAAAACTCAATATATATTTTTGAAATTTACTTGACTTTTTATAACCATTTTTTTTTGTTTAAATACAGATTGATTTTAAACTATCTAAATTTAGAAAAAAGTAATTTATCGACCGGTCAATGTATCGATCACTTTCAAAAATTACTGAGGACTCTCGTTTGCCACGTTATTTGTCACGTGGCTTAATTTCTTAATGCCGTAATGCAAATCGGGTATTGGTATATCGTCTATATCGACCTCTTCAAGTGTTGACACATCTGTAAGCTCACGAATGGTCAATAAATTACAAATCCTTAAATTTATACTTGCTATTATTTCTCATATTTGTTTCTTATATACATATTTGTACTTTTTTTTATTTAGAATTATTTAAACACCAAAAATATAGTAGCAACTAGTAAATCTTTTTAGTTTTGTAATTTGAATAATTCATTTTTATTATACAATTGATTATTCGTAAAAATTTATTGTTGACTATATAACTTCTATACTAAAATGTCTGTTTGCATATCGGTCATATGAATGAAAGTTACTAACGCGAAAAAATTACTCATGCAAATAAACACATAATCTTGATATGGGTTTTGCCATAAATCTAATAACCATACGTTGGCGCCCTTTATTTTACTTTTTGTTGTAAAAAAAATATTATTGGATGCGCATGAGTATATAATTTAAATGGTCTTCTTTAACTTTTTATCAAGTCTATTTTCTCTATGTCTAGGTTTCTTTACGTATGTTGGTTGTTGTGTGTAGGTTTGTGTGTGGGTGGTGTATGTTTGTATATTTCCTTGCTCTTTCCCCTTCCTCCTCTCTCGCTTTTTTCTTTCCCTTTCGTCTCCTCTTTCCCTTCGTCTTCCCTTTCCCTTTCGTTTTTCCTTTCCCCCGACCAATGTTGCTCACCTCAACGTGGTGATCAGGTGACAACAAGTTTTTAAAAGACTTGGCTAAGTCAGCAACAAATAATAATTACATATTACAATATTACATACAGTAAGTCATATATTTCATATAAACATAACTAAATAAATAATTTGATATATCTAATTTTTTAAGACTATTTGGCTTTGAATTATTGTGCAAAGTTTTTCCATAATAACATTCTTAGGATTCAAGTAAAATTACAAAAAAAGAAACCAATTTCCTAAAAAAAAAGGAATGTTTACATCATGCAAAGATTTTAATAAATAAAAAAAAATAAAATAATACCACATAATTCAAATAATCTTGAATAAGCACGTTGAAGAAATTTTTAGCATTCAAATTTAAACAATATGTTTTAAAAAATCCTTTCAATAATATTCTTTTTTTTTTTGTAACACTGATAATTTGCTATCTTTCGTAATCAATTTTTTTGTTTAATGTTGTAATAAGAAAAAAGATCCTGAGTAAATAAACGTGACGGTTACTGTTTTCCTAGTTGTATCACAAGATAGCTTATCAAAATTATGATTATTAATTTTTTTTGAAAGGACATTATTTTTTATGATATATTTTTTTTAATTCTTTTCACATTTTTTTTAAAAAAATCAAGTCGAAAGGAAGTTCAAAGTGGAGATTTTTTTTGAGATGTATGATAATTTAATGAAATTTTTTCTTGTAGCATTTATTAATTATATATTTTTGCATGGTCTTATAAATCTAGATTTTTCATATTAACAATAGTAAAAATTAGTCCACTTATAATAGGGTTTGATATATTTTTATAATTTAATCGGCTTAATAATTGGATCTTTTTATTTTTCCCTTCAAATTCTGCAAACAAATTCTAAAAAAAAAAAATGTTTCTCCCATTCTGTTATGCATTTGTTTAATTATTAAACTTATGGTATTATTTATTTATTTACAGTATTAATAAGAAAAAAGTCAAATTCTCGGTCGTGATTTATTACATTACGTATTTTTTTGTATCATGTATATATAATAAATATATTAAAAATTACCGTATCACGATTGGTCACATGAGTTAATTTTTGGAATAAAAAATTTTGAATGCCGCTTATACTTTAAAAATTATTTGTCCAATCCCGCTCGACTCGCTCCATTTGACACGTGATTTAGAAATTCAATAACGTCGTCGTCGCGACGACTTTCATTGCTTAAGAAAGTTTGTGAAACAATTCCGTAAATTCATTCTTTTATCAGAAAGTTAAAAAAATATATATAGTATATATATATTGTTTTTACATTATGACTACTATACTACTATTCAAAAAGACTTAGTTTATTATTAAAGAAACCCCAGACAAACGATTCAGATTTAGTAATGAACTAATGCAGACAGGCTCGATAAACGAGATTCATCGTCCATTAAAAAATCAGATATATCAAGGAATCCGACATATCGAAAATAAATTTATTATTTCATTATAATAATCCGTTCCAGACCCAATTCCAGGTTCCTTTGTATTTTTTCTGATAAATCTCTTATTATAAAAGATGGAAACCATATGCAGTAAAATTATTATTAATTATTATTAAATTTTTTAAAATTCTTTTAAATATAGAAACAAAAAAACCTACCATGATGAATGTTTAGCTCCATTATACCGAACAATGTGCTCTAAATAATTAAAATCAAATTTTTCAAACTGTACATCTGGATACTTGAATATAAAAATGTCAAATGGAAACACTTAAACCAAATATAATATCATAAATCTATCAATCAAAATTTCAGAGTGTTTATCTTTAGTTAATTATTTTTCTTTCATTAGTGGATGGATCCTTATATAATTACAAAATATTGAATATTTAAAAAGAAATGGAGAACATCATGGTACTCAAAAAGTTAGAAAATATTGAAAGTGGAAACAGAAAGAAAAGTGTTTGAAATGATTATTCGTAAAATTATTTAAAATAATCTAAAATTTCATTTATTATAAATAAAATGTTGTTTAACACTATGGTTTAACAAATTACTTTTAGATATATATTGTTTAAATTATATATATTATTTTTTTAGATTTCATTTATAAAAATTTATAACGTTATTTTTACCGACTATTATAGGGATAAATAAAATTTTACTTCGGAGTCGGAAACATGATCGGTCCATCATTTATCCGATTCTAGTAAAATTTTACTATTCCAGCAAAGGTAATTATTATAATATATAAAAATCCATAAAAAAAATTTTTTTTTTCCATTAAAAATCAACCTATTCTATCTATTACCATATTAGGTTAGGATAAAATTCTATTTCGGATAAATCGGTAACCGTATCGTGTTACACTAACTAATGAGTTTACTAAATTTAAATGACTCGGGGAACTCCTTAATAGAATGACTTTCACATTGTTAGCGGATAAAATTCGGCCTACGTTAAATATATAAATATAATATATATAGCTATACAGTATGTATTCTATTATTTTTTCAAATGTCAAATGACAATTTATAATTTTTTTTTTTAAAAAATGCAACAAAAAGTTCCAACTGTAATTATTATTGGTGCAGGTCTAGGAGGCCTTACTTTTTATCACGCTTTGATAAAGAATAAAGATAAAAAAGAATTCAAGGTAAAGATCTTTGAACGAGAATCTGGTCCTCAAGGTATACGTATAAATATACTGTGTAATCATTCTCTTAACATTTTTTGAAGAATTTACATAAACATTTGTTTACTTCTATGGTAAACTGAAAGATCGATGGCAAGGATATCATATAGGAATAAACAATTATGGAGCTCGATCTCTTATAAATTGTATTCCTTCTTCGATCGCTTCAAACCTTCCAAAAGCGACACCAAATCCAATTCCTAATCTAGAATATCATGGATTTTCACTTGCCGATCATACGGGAAGTCTACTATTAAGACCTCCATCTAAACAAGTTAAAGATATTTACGAAGTCGCAAATTTAACCACTAGTTTTTCGATAATTATCACTTATCGTAATAGGCTTAGAGATGTTCTATTAGAAAATGTACCAGTTCAATGGGGTAAAAAATGTATTGGATATGAGGAAACTGATGTTGGTGTTTGGGTACTTTTTGAAGATGGTTCGAAAGAATTTTGTGACATATTAGTTGGTGCAGATGGCGTCAATTCTCCGGGTAAGAAATTAATTAATAATAAAATAAATAAATAAAATATTTATCATTTAATAATTAATCTTAACTCTTTTATCTTTTTTTTAGTTCGAAAACAAAAATTACCAGAATTGCAAATTTTTGATTATGGAGTAACTATGATTATTACAGATGTAGCTGCACCTAAAAATCTCTTAGACAGATTGATTAAACTCAATGGAAACGGTACATTTCAAGAAACTGTTGGATTTAATGGAGATACTACGTTTATTATTTTCGTCGTATACCAATAGAACAAGAAAATTTTGAGAATAAAAATGAAACCTATTATAGGGCGACAATAGCTTATGTATATCCAACTAAATTAGATGATAAACACGATGAACACAAAGTTGATGATGAAGATCTTGCATCTATCGTTAATCATGTAAAATATTATATTCGAAAATTAAGACCAGAATGCGAAATGACTAACATCGTATTGGAATTATGGGACTTAGTTCCTAAAATGACTCCTGATTCAAAAAAATATCCATTTAAAACTTACAATCCTTTACGAAGAAGAAAGATGCGAGATATTGATCCGTTATCTATTAATACGTGGACGAATAGTAGAGTTACATTATTAGGAGATGCCGCTCATGCTACGAGTCCTGTATTAGGAATAGGAGCGAACAATGCTATTGAAGATGCTGAAACTCTTTCTAAAGCATTACTTAATTATTCTCCAGAGAATTATATTTCTTGTATTAAAGAATATGAAAATGAAATGTTAAAACGAAATTCCGCGGACGTGTTACGTTCTAGATTTATCGCATTAGGACAAGCTTCTCAAGTTGGATATATTAGTTCTATTTTTAGAAATAATTTTATTAGAATTATAAATTTTATCATGAATTTCTTTGATCTTAATTTTCTTTTTAGGAATGTTAGGAAGAACTAATAGCCAAATATTTGCTTTATACGTGTTTTTTGTTCGCTTATCTTTATATCATGTACTGAATGTACTGAATTTACTATAGCTTTTTTATAAAAAATGTATATATCTTTTTTTTACTTGAATGGAACATTTTAAATTAAGTATTGTGTTGTCGGTACAATTTATTAATATAGTCCCGTTATTGAACCAATAATGTTTAAATCTCGAAAAATGAATAACTTTACTTCTCACATAAAAAAAAAAAAATTAGAATCCGTAACGTTTATTATTATTACTATTAATTTACTATAATAAATAATAATTTTCTCGTTATAATATTTCAAATAGTTACTTCAAACCAAATCCTTGACAAAATAATAAAAAAATAAAATAAATAAAATCATTAAATTAATAATGTTTTTATTTTTTCCTCTCTAAGAAAAGGATCAAATCCACTACCATCAGTTTACTTGGTACTTCAATATTTTGTGGTATTACAACTTTTTCTAATTTAAATTTTTTTTAGTTTATTCAGTTGTTTATTGTAGTTAAACAAAATCTGACCACGAAAAAAATGTAAATACTTGTACAATGCGCCATAGTAGGTTCATCAGATATCCGTCGCGTCACAAGTTGATCTTTTTTTCAATTTGAAATTAGTTAAAACTCTAATGATGATGATAACTTCTAATTTGCGTGATGACTGAGCTTTATCAATTCCGTCAAGCGGTTGTGGTTAGATAAAAAAAAATGCTCTTTATTATTAACCGATTTTTGAAGTATGTCTTTTCACGCGAATGAACGATAATATACAATATCATGGATAAAATTTTCTAGTTTAATTTTTAACTATTGAATAATTTTTTTTATCTGTATTTCTTTTTAAAAAAAATCATATTAATAATAATTTTCAGTTTATTCAATTATTAAACACTATCAAATCGACAAAGGAATGCGCGCTTACTAACAAAAGCACAATTAAATGTGTTAAACGTATGATTTGTGCAACTCGTAATAACGATATCTTTATTATTATGGTTTCTATTCGATAAGACAGTTTTGTTGCAATTCATATATAGAAGAGCATCATATGCATTAACAAATTTTAATATACAAGATATTATAGACAAACATTTTACATTTTGAATTTATACATCAAACTATTATTGATGACAAATCTCTTACAACAGATAAAAAGTCATATCGATATTGCAGTAAGAATATTAAATAAATATTTTGACAATTATAGTAAAATTCTTTTAAATAAAGGAACAAAAAAAAATTTTTTTGTGAAAATTGTCATGGTGAATATTTAATTAACTATTATACCGAATATTGCGTTCTAAATAATTAAATCAAATTTTCAAACCGGGCATCTAAGTAATTGAGTATAACAATGTCAAGTACTATATCATCTAGCAGTCCACTATATTTAGAAATTTGCTGTAATCGGTTAAATTAACCGGTTAAAATGCTGAAAATGTTTGTAATTCTGGCCAAATTTACAGTGCCGGCCAGAATTATAAATCACGGGACTTCGGATGCCAATGGTAGAATTTTTTGTGATATATAAAATTCATAATGCGGGCCGAAATTCATAGTGCAGGCAGACAACTTTGGCCTGAATTTCGTCTTTCAGCTAGAGTTTCGTTTCGAATAGTTAGAGTTTTGAAAGTCTGGCCTAATTTTGGCCGGGATTAAAAATATATTTGATGCTAATCCCGGCCGAATTTTAATGCTGACTAGAATTGAGTTTTAACCAGTTAAGACTTTTTGGACCGGTTCCAACCTCTAGATTTGATAACCATGATATTTCAAAACCAATGGTTAAAAAAAAAAAAAAATAGTTTCATTCAAATCGAAAAATACTGCGAAATATTCTTTTATTAGATTAAAAACCTCTTTGTTATGATCTATTTTTTTTTTGTCAGCATTTTCGGATAAATACGGTATGTGTTACATTAATTATGAGTTTCACTAACCTTAGAATTTCCTAAATAGAGTAAATTGCATGTCCATCACATTGGTAATCAGAATATCGGATAAAATTCGGCCATTTTAAGTTGATATATATATTCTATCACTTCGTCCCCTTTTAATCATATCATATTATAATTTTTTTAAAAAAAAATGCAAGAAAAAATTCCAACTGTAATTATTATTGGCGCAGGTCTAGGAGGCCTTACTTTTTATCACGCTTTGATAAAGAATAAAGATAAAAAAGAATTCTATGTAAAAATCTTTGAACGAGAATCTGGTCCTCAAGGTATACGTATAAATATACTGTGCACGGGCAGTGACATATATTAGTTAATATTAGATCTTTTTAACCAATAATATTCAATTATACGTATAATACTAATTTTAACGATAGAAATGTTTAATTTTGTATTATGTAATATTTTGCTTAACCCCATACCCTAAAATATTAGCTAATATATGTCATGGCCCTAATCATTCTCTTAACATTTTTTAAGAATTTCATTTTTAAACACTTGTTTCTATGGTAAAACTGAAAGATCGATGGCAAGGATATCATATAGGGATAAACAATTATGGAGCTCGTTCTCTTATAAATTGTATTCCTTCTTCGATCGCTTCAAACCTTCCAAAAGCGACACCAAATCCAATTCCTAATCTAGAATATCATGGATTTTCACTCGCCGATCATACGGGAAGTCTACTGTTAAGACCTCCAACTAAACAAGTTAAAGATATTTACGAAGTCGCAAATTCAAACTTTTCAATAATTATCGCTTATCGTGATAGGCTTAGAGATGTTCTATTAGAAAATGTACCAGTTCAATGGGGTAAAAAATGTATTGGATATGAAGAAACTGATTATGGTGTTTGGGTACTTTTTGAAGATGGTTCAAAAGAATTTTGTGACATATTAGTTGGTGCAGATGGCGTCAATTCTCCAGGTAAAAAATTAATAATTATAAAAAAATAAATAAAATACTTATTATTTAATAATTAATCTTATCTCTTTTATCTTTTTTTCTTAGTTCGAAAACAAAAATTACCAGAATTGCAAATTTTTGATTACGGAATAACTATGATTATTACAGATGTAGCCGTACCTAAAAATCTCTTAGACAGATTGATTAAACTCAATGGAAACGGTACATTTCAGGAAACTGTTGGGTTTAATGGAGATACTACGTTTATTATTTTTCGTCGTATTCCAATAGAACAAGAAAACTATGAGAATAAAAATGAAACCTATTATAGGGCGACAATAGTTTATGGATATCCAACTAAATTAGATGATGAACATGATGAACACAAAGTTGATGATGAAGATCCTGCATCTATCGTTAATCATATAAAATATTATATTCGAAAATTAAGACCAGAATGCGAAATGACTAACATCGTATTGGAATTATGGGACTTGGTTCCCAAAACGACTCCTGATTCAAAAAAATATCCATTTAAAACTTACAATCCTTTACGAAGAAGAAAGATGCGAGATATTGATCCGTTATCTATTAATACATGGACGAGTAATAGAGTTACATTATTAGGAGATGCCGCTCATGCTACAAGTCCTGTATTAGGAATAGGAGCGAACAATGCTATTGAAGATGCTGAAGTTCTTTCTAAAGCATTACTTAATTATTCTCCAGAGAATTATATTTCTTGTATTAAAGAATATGAAAATGAAATGTTAAAACGAAATTCCGCGGACGTGCTACGTTCTAGGTCTATCGCATTAAGACAAGCTTCTCAAGTTGGATATATTAGTTCTATTTTTAGAAATAATTTTCTTAGAATTTTAAATTTTATACTGAATTTCTTTGATCTTACTTTTCTTTTTAGGAATGTTAGGAAGAAGAACTAATAGCCAAATATTTACTTTTATACATGTTTTTGTTCGCTTATCTTTATATGTACTGAATGTACTGAATTTACTATATATATTTTATTATATTTTATATATTTTTAGCTTTTTATAAAAAAACATATATATATATATTTTTTACTTGAATGGAACATTTAAATTAAGTTTTGTGTTATCGTTACAATTTATTAATAAAATCCCGCTATTGAATCTAATAATTTTTAAATCTTGAAAAATGAATAACTTATAAAAAAAAAACAAATTAGAATCCGTAACATTTTTTATTATTACTATAATAAATAATAATTTTCTCGTTATAATATTTCAAATAGTTTACTTCAAACCGAATCCTAGACAAAATAATAAATAAATAAATAAATAAAATCATTAAATTATCTCTAATGTTTTACTTTTTCATCTCGCTCTAAGAAAAGGATCAAATCCACCACCATCAGTTCCAATGATAGATAATTTGCTTGGAACTTCAATATTTTTGTGGTATTACAATTTTTCTCTAATAACTTAATTTTAAATTTTTTTTTTGTTTATTGTTTATTGTAGTTGGCCACGAAAAAAGTTTCAAGATTCATCAGATATTCGCTGATCTTCCTTATTATTTTTTCAATTTTGAAATTAGTTAAAACTCCAATGATGATAATAACTTTTAATTTGCGTGATGACTGAGCTTTATCAATTCCGTCAAGCGGTTGTGGTTAGATAAAAAAATGTTCTTTATTATTAACCGATTTTTGAAGTTTGTCTTTCCCCGATAATATACAATATGGAAAAAATTTTCTTGTTTAATTTTTAACTATTGAATGATTTTTTATCTGTATTTCTTTTTAAAAAAAAGCTTATACTAATAATAATTTTCAGTTTATTCAATTATTAAACACTATCAAATCGATAAAGGAATGTGCCTTACTAACAAAAAAAAATAAATATTATCAAATCTTTTTACGATTGAGAATTGAGATGATCCAAATTCATGCAAAGAAGGTCGCACAATTAAATGTGTTAAACGTATGGTTTCGTAAAATATTTATCCAAAATTGAATTATTATTATGGTTTCTATTCGAGAAGACAGCTTTTATTGCAATTCATATATAGAAGAGCATCATATGCATTAACAAATTTAATATACAAGATATTATAGACAAACATTTTGAATTTAGACATCGAACTATTATTGCTGACAAGTCTCTTACAAAAGATAAAAAGTCATATCGATATGCAGCAAAAATATTAAATAAAGATTTTGACAATTATAATTTTTTGTGAAAATTGTCATGGTGAATATTTAACTATATTTACCGAACATTGTGTTCTAAATAATTAAACCAAATTTTCAAGCCGGGCAACTAGATAATTGAGTATAACAATGTCAAATGGGAACATATAAATTGATTAGAATATTATCTATCAGTTCAAATTTCAGAACATCTATCGACCCATATAATTACAAAATATTAAATATTTAAAAAGATATGGAGGGCATCATCAGTGGTACTCATAAGTATACATTGATATTATTTTTTTTTTTTTTTTGATTTTTAAATTTTAGAATTTATCTATATTTGTATAGTATTATTTTTATTGATTATTAATTAAAAGTATTTTGTATGAATTCCTATAAAAAGTAAGCACTTATTAAATAAAATTAATATAATTTTAATAACACATTCATTATTTTATTACTTCTACTAGTTGAAGATTTGATAACAAAGATAATCATAATATTTCAAAATCAAAGTATTAGTGCGCAAATGGTTAAAAAGAAATAAATCGAAAAATACTGCGAAATATTATTCTATTATTATTTTTTTTTGTCAGTATTTTCGGATAAATACAGTATGTGTTACATTAATTAATGAGTTTCACTGACTAAGAATTTCCTTAAGTAGAAGTAAATCGTATGACCATCACAAATATCGGATAAAATTCGGCCATTTTGAGTTGATATATAATTCTCTCACTTCGTCTCCTTTAATTTTGATATCAAATTATAATTTTTTAAAAAATACCAAGTAAAAAATTAATAAAAAAGCAAAAGAATCAAATTATAATTTTTAAAAAAAAATGCAACAAAAAATTCCAACTGTAATTATTATTGGTGCAGGTCTAGGAGGCCTTACTTTTTATCACGCTTTGATAAAGAATAAAGATAAAAAAGAATTCGACGTAAAAATCTTCGAACGAGAATCTGGTCCTCAAGGTATACGTATAAATATACTGTGTATTCATTCTCATAACATTTTTTTGAAGAATTTCACATAAACACTTGTTTACTTCTATGGTAAACCTAAAAGACCGATGGCAAGGATATCATATAGGCATAAACAATTATGGAGCTCGATCTCTTATAAATTGTATTTCCCCATCGATCGCTTTAAACCTTCCAAAAGCAATGCCAAATCCAATTCCTAATCTAGAATATCATGGATTTTCACTTGCCGATCATACAGGAAGTCTACTATTAAAACCTCCAACTAAACAAGTTAAAGATGTTTACGAAGTCGCAAATACAACCAATAGTTTATCGACAATTATTACTTATCGTGATAGGCTTAGAGATATTCTATTAGAAAATGTACCAGTTCAATGGGGTAAAAAATGTATTGGATATGAGGAAACTGATGATGGTGTTTGGGTACTTTTTGAAGATGGATCGAAAGAATTTTGTGACATATTAGTTGGTGCAGATGGCGTCAATTCTCCAGGTAAAATAATAATAATAATAAAATAAATAAATAAAATACTTATCATTTAATACTCTTTTATCTTTTTTTAGTTCGAAAACAAAAATTACCAGAATTGCAAATTTTTGATTACGGAATAACTATGATTATTGCGGATGTAGCCGCACCTAAAAACCTTTTAGACAGATTGATCAAACTCAATGGAAACGGTACATTTCAAGAAACTGTTGGATTTTATGGAGATACTACGTTTATTTTTTTTCGTCATATTCCAATAGAACAAGAAAATTTTGAGAATAAAAATGAAACCTATTATAGAGCGACAATACTTTATGGATATCCAACTAAATTAGATGATGAACATGATGAACACAAAGTTGATGATGAAGATTCTGCATCTGTCGTTAATCATGTAAAATATTATATTCGAAAATTAAGACCAAAATGCGAAATGACTAACATCGTATTGGAATTATGGGACTTGGTTCCCAAAACGACTCCTGATTCAAAAAAATATCCATTCAAAACTTATAATCCTGTACGAAGAAGAAAGATGCGAGATATTGATCCGTTATCTATTAATACATGGACGAGTATTAGAGTTACATTATTAGGAGATGCCGCTCATGCTACAAGTCCTGTATTAGGAATAGGAGCGAACAATGCTATTGAAGATGCTGAAGTTCTTTCTAAAGCATTACTTAATTATTCTCCAGAGAATTATATTTCTTGTATTAAAGAATATGAAAATGAAATGTTAAAACGAAATTCCACGGATGTGCTACATTCTAGATCTATCGCATTAAGACAAGCTTCTCAAGTTGGATATATTGGTTCTATTTTTAGAAATAATTTTATGAGAATTGTAAATTTTTTCATAAATTTCTTTGATCTTAATTTTCTTGTTAGAAAAACTAGCTAAATGTTTATTTTTATACACGTTTTTTGTTCGCTTATCTTTATATATATGCTCAATATAAAATATATATTTATTATATTTTTAGTTTTTCATATTAATAAGAATTTTTTCTTTTACTAAATGTATCATTTTGATGTTAAATTGATAAATTAATAAATATCGTGCTGCTGTTACAATACTCGGCGAATATTTAGTAATCTTGTAGCAAAAAATTTAAGTATGATTGCTCGGCGCAATGGCGCATGATACTGGTACTAGCATTTCTGATATGATTCAAACTTTTTTGTGGTCAGATCTTGTGCAACTGATTGTCTAAATGTTGACTCTTTCTTTCTTTGGCTCACTACTTTATTTGAAACGTGATTTAGGGATAAAACACGATGTTATTTATGATAACTTATCTCATTTTGACTTTTAATGGACAAGTTTACGATGAGATATTCTTGATGAAAAATCATATGCTATATGTATAATTTTTAATGCTATTATAAGATACTCTTAAATAAGTAACAAAAAAATTTGTATAAATTGTCATGATGAATGTTTATCTACATTATACTGTGAACAAAATTATTTAATGGCAAATTTTTCAAACTCGGACATTTAACAACTGAGGTAGTTTTAGCAATCTACGCTTTACAAATTTGCATAAATAAATGATTTTGCATAACCCACGCGAAATGTAACTTATAATCTACACAAAAAAAAATTATATAAATACATTTTTATTCTAAGTAAATTTTACGCGACGTTTTTAAATACAAAATTATTCAAAATAATATGAAATATAATACTAATAATTAATTAATTTTATTATATTATATTAAACAGATAAAATTAACCAATTATTTGTATTTTTAAATGATTTATAGTCTTTTTTTAAGTGATATCTGATATCATGATGCATTCAACAAAATTGTTCTTTATTTTATTTTAGATTTATTTAAAAAAAAAGAACAAATAGTGTAGTGGTCGGATAATGAGACTTAATATATTAATAGTTTATCTTGAGATAGTACTATTCAATTCGATTCTTAGTGTAAGTAAAAAAAAATAATAAATAAAATGTCAGTGTAAGTAAAAAAATAATAAAATGCATTCAGTTCGACTCTTAGTGTAAGTAAAAAAAAATACTGTTAAGGTAACTACATTATTTTTTACCATTAAAAAAACTACGTCATTTTTAAAAATACACCTTTTTATACTATTGAAAATTCCTCTAAATTTTTCACACTCGTATATCGTCGCGAGTGGTGCAGATTTGCGTAGTTTTTTCACACATGTATTATTTTGCAGAGATTCTACGCTTATTTTATTCTCCTGATACAGAATTATGAAACTTTTTAAGATACAAAATCAACAAAATATTTTTTAAACTGTTTTTATGTGTAAATTACTTAAATCATATATTCAAGAATTTATTTCAAGATATAAAACTTTGAAAATACCTATTCATAAAAATTTTATGACACTTTTTAAGATACGCTTATTAATAACTATGTTTTAATCATAAATTATGCAAAATTGTATATTTATAGATTTTTACGGAGTATAAATTTCTAGGGATTATACATATTTGATAACTTTACGCTAATATTCGGCTCATACAATCTCCTGATGAATTTTTAGGATTCTATTTACTTAATATAAAATAAAAATTGAAAATATGAACAAAATCACCAAAAAACGAGATAAATTAATTAATTACAATTAGGCCAAATGAAAATATATAAATATATAATAATAAGTTGGCGTATTACTTTTTTTTTTGATCCTTTACAATAATTAATTGATAAATAATAATGGTATAAATATACGTATTATACGCATTCTATATTAAAGAAATTGTGATAACGTAAGTTTAAAATACGGTCAGGTGTAGGCCTATTACGCAACAGGAACAATTACGGCAAAGTAACAAGGACAGATAAGTTTTTTATATTATTTCAAGTTTATAAAAAGGCTTTACGACAGAAATAAACAAAAATATGAAACAAATAATTATCCCATTTAGTTCAATTACAAATTCTGATACTCTATTTATTATTAGTAAATAAAAAATACAAATAAACAATGTCGTTAATTAGCGTGAGAAAGTTTAACTTTATATGTAACCTTTACTACTTTTATACGAAAATCATACTGTGACCAATACAGTATGATTTATTGATTATGTCCGTTATTCATCATTCATATGAAACATTGCCGCAGAAGCCCTTGTTTTTCAAATTTATATTTTTATTATTTTCTAGATTTATTTTTTAGTACTATTTTTACTTTTATTTTTTCGATAAAAAGAGCCTACATAATCAACTTGTTCGATCCTTTTTAGGATTTACTATATCATCTATGAATTTCTCAAAAAGGAAGCTTTTGTTCTTAAATAATTTTCATTAAAAAATATCATTATTATAATAATACTTATTTAAAATGTCATTGTAAATGAGTCATTGTATCCATTGTATTGCATTCTTCTTTTTTTTTTCTATTTCAATGTTACACTAACAATTCGGCAAAATTTTACGTTGAAATATATATAACTCAATTGACATCAATTTGTCCATTATAAAAAAAAAAAAAAAAAATTCTTTAAAAAATGCAACAAAAAATTCCGACTATAATTATTGTTGGTGCAGGTCTAGGAGGCCTTACCCTTTATCACGCTTTGATAAAGAATAAAGATAAAAAAGAATTCAATGTAAAAATCTTTGATCGAGAATCCAGTCCTCAAGGTATACTGTATAATCATTTTCATAATATTTTTTAAAAAATCACTCGACTAATTCGATCACTGATTTCTATATTAAAAACTAAAAGAACGATGGCAAGGATATCATATAGGCATAAACAATTATGGTGCTCGATCTCTTATAAATTGTGTTCCTTCATCGATCGCTTTAAACCTTCCAAAAGCAATTCCAAATTCAGTTCCTAATATAGAATATCATGGATTTTCACTCTCCGACCATATGGGAAACCTGCTATTAAGACCTCCAACTAAACAAGCTAAAGATGTTTATGAAGTTGCAAATATATCCGTTGGTTATTCAATAATTGTAACTTACCGTGATAAACTTAGACATGTTTTATTAGAAAATGTGCCAGTTCAATGGGGTAAAAAATGTATTAGATATGAAGAAACTGATGATGGTGTTTGGGTACTTTTTGAAGATGGTTCGAAAGAATTTTGTGATATTTTAGTTGGTGCAGATGGTATCAATTCTCCAGGTAATATATATATATACATATATATACGCAACATTTGATTTTTTAATAATTAATTGTATTTCTTTTTCTTTTTCTTTTAGTTCGAAAACAAAAATTACCCGAATTACAAATTTTTGATTATGGAATAACCATGATTGTTACAGATGTGGCCGTACCTAAAAATCTTATAGACAGATTAACTAAACTAAATGGAAACGGTACATTTCGGGGAACTCTTGGATTAAATGGAGAAGCTTCGGCTACTATTCTTCGTTTTATTCCAATAGAACAAAAAAATTATGAGGATAAAAGTGAACCTTATTATAGGACAACAATATTTTTTGAATATCCATCTAAATTAGATGATGTTGAACATGATAAAATTAAAGTTGATGATAATGATCCTGCATCTGTTGTTGATCATGTTAAATATATGATTCGAAAATTAAGACCAGAATGTGAAATGACTGACATTTTGTTGGAACTATGGAATTTGGTTCCTAAAACGACTTCTAAAACTTACAATCCTGTACGAAGAAGAAAGATGCAAGATATTGATCCATTATCTGTTAATGCATGGACGAGTAATAGGATTACATTATTAGGAGATGCCGTTCATGCTACGAGTCCTGTATTATCATCAGGAGCAAATAATGCTATTCAAGATGCTGAAGTTCTTTCTAATGCATTACTTAATTATTCCCCAGAAAATTATATTTCTTGTATTAAAGAATATGAAAATGAAATGAAAAAACGAAGTTCCGCTGAAGTACTAAAATCTAGACATGTAGAATTAAAACAAACTTCTCCGGTTGGATATATTGGTTCTATTTTTAGAAATAATTCTATAAGAGTTTCAAATTTTATCATGAATTTATTTGATTATAATTTTCTTGCTAGGAAGAATTAAATTTTTACAATGTTATATATATATATATATTTATTTATTTATTGTACTTTTAGCTTTTCCATATCATGAATAGAATAAAAAAAAAAAATTTTTTTTTTTCAAATGGATTATGATTTGATAACTTTGATACTAAATTAATATATTAAAATATTATTTTTACAATCTATTAATAAATTTCGGCTGAGACACGGCGAATGTTTTAAATTAATTCAGATTAAGTGTGATTCTTTGTCTAAACTTTTTTCGTGGTAAGATTTTATGTAAATTTTTTTTAATTTATTGCTCATGTGTGCATATATGTTAATTTTTTTGTATTATATCACGATCGTTCATAAGTTTTCTTTCATGTCAAACTCGCAGTTCTACAGTGACATTTGAAACGTGATTTAGGGAATCAAATAACACATGATGTTATGATAGTCGAATTTAAATTGTTTTTACTAAAATTTTGTGAAACAAACTTCGGAATTAAATTTTAAAATTCTAAAATTCTTAAAAATTTTCTTAATCGAGTTTCACGCTTAAATTTCATTTTTAACAAAAAATTATATTTCACACATTACGACTACTATTCGGGAAGACTTTGTAGTATTTATTGCAATGGATCGATTAACAGACTATAATATTGAAAATACTACCTAAATTTTCAACTTCAAAATTTTTTCATCATTTTAGATTAGACGTTGCATATTGCACTACTTGCAAACTTCTTTTTCGAATTTTTCTTCACAACCTCTTCTGAAATGTTCGCGATGAATTTATAAAACGAAATATTCTTGCGACAAATCTCTTACAAAAGATGAAAATCTTATGAATAAAACATTAAATTAAAATTTTAATAAAGAATATGATAAAAATTGTCATGATGAAATGTTTAGCTACATTAGATCAAATTTTTCAAATTGGACATCTGGAAATAATGATTTTGATAATTAATGCAAAAATGTTAAATAAAATCACTACTGTAAGAATAGTAGAATTGATCCAAAACAATAATTGATAAAATAGGACCTCGAGCAATAGAAACTAACTTATTAGCTCTACGTTCCAGGGCAAGAATTGCGTAATGCCGCCCGGAATTATCCCAAAAAGGAATGATCTACACACATATAGGTCCTTACAAAATATTAAACACTTAACTAAAGGTAGACATTTTATATCTGTAAAGTAACCAACGTGTTAAACCAATTATATTAGAAGCCAATCACGTATATTAGAACAATTCCGATATATCTCCGATATATCGAAGTTTATTACATAAAATTCATATCATTATCCCATCGGTATTATGTATACACCGATGGATTTTTTTGTAAATTATTCCACCGGTATAAAAAAGTATAAAAAAGTATAAAATCCATCGGTGTATACGCCATACACAATGAGATAAACCTGTTATTCCATGGGTATCTAATAAATACTCCATATACACCGATGCTCCCCTCCCTTCGGGGGGGCCCCCAAGACATCGGTGAATATTTCAGTTATTCATTGATACCCATGGAATAACAAGTATATATTTGAATATATTTGAATTAAATAAATTAAAGGTCATGGTTAGTCCTCAAATATCATATGATTAGTGAATTTATCATGTGATTTTATTAGTCAATAAATTGTACAAATTAATTGTTTCGTATTCTATTAATACATTTCTCATTAATACATTATCCTACTCTATTAATACATTCGTTTTATCCATACATTCTAATTAATATCTCCAAGCCCCAACCAATTATTCCAAACCAAAGTTAAATATTTTGTTCCTAGTTAAAGTAATAAAGTTCGTTAATATAAAAAATAACAGGGTATGTAAAACAGATACAACAATTACTACCTTCAATTTTTCTGATAGTGCCCGACTTTCCCACATTTTTTGCAATGTCGTTGATTCATGATTTAGGTTTACAAGCTTTAGTAGATGACTTAAATCTTTTAGTTCCTAACGGTCATCTTTTATCACATTTTTTTTCGGATTTTCGTGACATTTGGTACCAAAGGGTCAATATGAGTTTATCATTTATTTCATCTTCTTGATTAATTTCATTCAATTCTTCTGAATCTGATTTCCCAACTTCTGTAAATTCTTGTAACAATTCAATAAGCTGTTCCGAGTTAGAATTAGATCGTAAAGCTTTGTTAGTTTGTTACTGTGAGAACAGATATACGTATGACGACGGACAATGTCCTTCTCGCGACTTACACGATCTTTAATGATCTGAAACCCTTGTTGTTTAGCCTAACCATCTATAAAGACTTTGCAACCTTCACATAATTGAAATTTCTTTCCTGAATATAATAGTACATGTTCGTCCTTATTAGACAAGATCGATTCGTCACAATCATCTAAAAAGGTAAAATAAATAAAATAAAATAAAAAGAAGGGTTAGAAATGATAACCCAAAAGCATCTAGTATTCTAATCCTTCACCCTCCTTACCCTAACCTCCCAACCCTAACCTAATCCTCCAGACCAACACCACTCTAGAGACAACGCACCTAACCTAAACCAATTCCCATTATCCTGACCCTAAGCTATTCCAAAGCCAATACCACTATAAAAGCCAACGTTACTTTAAAGCCAACATTACTTTACCTAATTACATATCATGAGCAAATCCCAAAAGATGAATATTTTCGAATTCTTCTTACATAAGGTAGGTTTACGTTAAAGGGAAAAAAATAAATGAAAATAGGTATTGTTTATTAAAGAAAGTAAAAGTAAAAATAATGAGAGAGAAAGTAAACGTGGGAACGTGGTCGACTTGATAATCGAAAAGTCTAAATCTCATGACTACTACGTAAATCATGTGATAAATAATAGGGACTAGCGACAAATCGCATCCGCGATAAATAAATAATTTTAATAATTTTCTAAATTAAATAAAAATTTTCATATATTAAAGTTTTGATTTATATAATAATTAGATTTTTAAAATAAATTCTCTAATAAAATTCAAAATTTTATAATTTAGATATTTTTTAAAAAATGACTAAGGAGATTTTCTATTAAAAATTTGAAATTAAATGTCATTGATAAATATTTATTAAGTTGTTGAGTAGCATAAAAAAAATTTACGTTTAATACTATGTAAAATGTAAACAATAATGAACTGAGACATATAAAAGTTAAATCAATAATGAATTAAAAATTTTTTTTTTATTTAAAAGCATCTGACGTAGAGAATGAAATTAAATTTCGATAGGAATCATCGCGTTTGTGGCAGTTTATTGTATATGTGTATATTTTCATACGTATGTGTCGTTGAGTCAAATTTTTTATGTATGCTCGATGTGTTCAATAAAAATAAAAAAAAATTTTTTTTTTTAATTATTAACCCTATAGAAAATTTTCTGTGAAAACCCGATAAACGATCATTTTCTAATTTTTATCTCAAAAAAAACTCCATGTGATCAATTCTCTAAATAATTTTTATAGGTAAGATAATTTTTTGATGGTGCAATTTAATATAGGTATTAAAAATCAATCAGTAAAGTTCATAATTATTCTGGCTTGCGTTATAATAATTTTGGCCAGTACATTTTATTTATCACCTCAGTATGTTACATAGGATTCAACACTTCTCTATGAAAGCAGATCGTGAACCCATTTTTCCAAAATATCCAATCGTCATCGTTCAGCCCAATAGGATCATGCAGATTTTCATAGACCGATATTTTTATTAGGTATGGGCGTATGGCAATAACACATGATTGATATAATAAAGTGGAGTAAAGAAATATGGTGTAAATGAATATTTTCTAGGAAAAGTTTAAATAAAGCTTATAAAGTGGATTAAAAAAATAGCATTTATAGAAAGCTTATGATCAAAACGTCAGAACAATAAATGTGTAGCTATATCGGTCACAGGGACCTTCATTGATTGGTGAAAATGCCACTACGTGACCCATTTTCATCCAATAATTTGGTCCTGTGCTACTCCCTCATCCAATTATAATTTTTTATTTTAGTACTATTTAAATTAATTATATCACGTATAAATTTCTCAAAAAGGAAATCCATTATTTCATTTTTGGATATTAAATTACTATTAAGATATCGATCAAAAATAAAATTTAAATATTATTAAGCAATAAATACATCACAATTTTTTTTTTCATTTAAAATTGAAAAGTACTAGTACGCTATATTCTATTGACCCATTTCGGATAAAATTTTCCAGTAACGTATAAACTGATTAATGGGCGTGACAATCATGTCCAAAAGGCCAATATTTTGCGTTGAATATATATATATTCTATCATTTCGTCTCATTTAAGCTCCAATTTTTTTATCTGATATCAAATAATTTTTAAAAATGCAGCAACAAAAAGTTCCAACTGTAATTATTATTGGTGCAGGTCTAGGAGGCCTTACTCTTTATCACGCTTTGATTAAGAATAAAGATAAAAAAGAATTCAATGTAAAAATCTTTGATCGAGAATTCAGCCCTCAAGGTATACATAAGTATGCAGTACGTTTTCATAATGTTTTTTAAAGAATCACTCGACTAACTCGAACACTTTTTTCTATGCAAAAACTGAAAGCTCGATGGCAAGGATATCATATAGCCATAAACAATTTTGGAGCTCGATCTCTTATAAATTGTATTCCTTCATCTATCGCTTTAAACCTTTCAAAAGCAATACCAAATCCAGTTCTTAATGTGGAATATCATGGACTTTCACTCACCGATCATACAGGAAATCTATTATTAAGACCTCCAGATAAACAAGTTAAAGATGTTTTCGAAGCTGCAAATTTATCTGTCGGTTCTTCAATAATTATAACTTACCGTGATAAACTTAGACATGTTCTATTAGAAAATGTACCAGTTCAATGGGGTAAAAAATGCATTAGTTATGAAGAAACTGATGATGGTGTTTGGATACTTTTTGAAGATGGTTCGAAAGAATTTTGTGATATTTTAGTCGGTGCAGATGGTATCAATTCTCCAGGTAAAAAAGTAAATAAATTAATATCATTTATTTCAATTAATAATTAGTTTATTTCTTTACTATCTCTTTTAGTTCGAAAACAAAAATTACCAAAATTGCAAATTTTTGATTATGGAATAACCATAATTGTTACAGATGTGGCCGCACCTAAAAATCTTTTAGACAGATTAATTACTAAATTCAATGGAAAAGGTGTAACTCAATCTGTTGGATTAAATGGAGAAACTTCGGTTACTATTTTTCGTCTTATTCCAATAGAGCAAGAAAATTATGAGAATAAAAATGAATCTTATTATAGAACAACAATATTTTTTGAATATCCATCTAAATTAGATGATGTTGAACATGATAAAATTAAAGTTGATGATAATGATCCTGCATCTGTTGTCGATCATGTTAAATATATGATTCGAAAATTAAGACCAGAATGTGAGTTAACTAACGTTATATTGGAATTATGGGACTTAGCCGTTCCTAAAACGACTTCTGATCCATCTAAAACTTACAATCCTATACGAAGAAGAAAGATGCAAGATATTGATCCATTATCTGTTAATACATGGACGAGTAATAGAATTACATTATTAGGAGATGCCGCTCATACTACGAGTCCTGTATTAGGATTAGGAGCGAATAATGCTATTGAAGATGCTGAAGTTCTTTCTCGAGCATTACTTAATTATTCTTCAGAAAATTATATTTCTTGTATTAAAGAATATGAAAATGAAATGAGAAAACGAAATTCCACCGAAGTACTAAAATCTAGATTTGTCGAGATAAGAAACACTACTCCAGTTGGATATATTGGTTGTCTTTTTAGAAATAATTTGTTGAGAATTATAAATACTATTATGAATTTCTTTAATTATAACTTACTTGCTAGGAATGGTTAAATATTTACAATTAAATTTATTATGCATATTTTATCATTTCTTTAATATATACCTGTCTCTTATACACATCTAGATGTGTATAAGAGACAGAAAAAATATTTTTTTCGATTATATTTCATTTTGATATTAAATAAATACATTAAATTTCAATTTATTAATAAATTCCAAATTCCAATCCAAAGATGCGACGAAGTTTGATGATGTAGTGAGAGAGGATGCTTGACGGGTACATATTCCTTAAAATTTTTGTTTAATTTATTATTTATACGTGCATATACAGTATGTTGGCTATTAGTTATCATATCACGATTGGTCATACGAGTTTTTTTTACGCCAATTTGCTGCTTTACAGTTTTGAATATTTTTCAAAGTACTCCTCAATTTGACACGTGATTTAGGATTCAATAACACGTGATATTGTGAAACAAGTCCAGACTCCAGAGTTAATTATTTTCTATATTTAAAATTTAATTCAATAAATTTTTATAACATCATGACTAGCTACTTACTATTCGAAAAGATTTAATTACAGCTGCACTTGATAGAGCATATGCATTAACATATTATAATATTCAGGATATCTTAGAGGCTTAGACAACCGATTTGAATTTAGACAACGAACAGTCAACGAACTATTCTTGCTCTTACAAAAGATGAAAAAATCATATGAAGTAAAATTATTAAATAAGATTTTGACGATTATAAACTTTTTTTTTAATGAAAAACAAAAAGAATATGATAAATTTTCATGATGAATATTTAGCTAGAGATCAATAAAAATCAAATTTTTCAAACTGGATAAACACTAAGAATAGTAGGGTGGCCCCTAATTTGCAAACATTTACACATAACTAAAGGTAGAGGTTCCGAAATTTATGCATGATGTTATTCATAAAATTATTTAATAATAAATTCTTCTTTAATTTTGTAGACTAAATCTCGTTTATCTATAATAAGTAACAAACGAGGACAAGTTATTAAATGTTATAGTTAAACAAAAAAACCCATTGGTTGTAATATACAATGAAATTCGATAAATCGGATCCTCTGAGATTGGGCCTAAACAGGACATTTTTTTTTCACGTATATTGGAACAATTTCGATATATCGAAGTTTATTATATAAAATTCATATCAATATTTGTAAATATTTACATACAATAAAGTTTTTGATTATATGATATAACCAAGATTAAAGTTTTGATCTGATTTTCGATTTTCAAATTTAACGTCCTTCGACGACGTTGTCAAAGAACGAAAACCAGACATATAAAATTAGATTTCAAATTTTTTTGATAATTGATATATTCGGATTTAAAAATAGATTCTCTAATTAAAATTCAAAATTTTATAATTTAGATGAGTCACCTGCATCAAAAGTTGGGAATGATCGATTTAATAGCTAATACTAATTTAATATGATATATAACTAATATAAATCGGTGTGTTTAATTCGATATGTCAATATTATGATTAATATATAGATTTTTAAAGAAACAGGAGACTTTTATCTTAAAAATTGAATGTCAGTATGTACTCAATTTCATTTTAATACCAGTAAACCTGAACCAGAATAGTAAAAGATAAAAAGAATCAAAATAAAAAAGTTAAATCAATAATAAAGTTAAAAATTAAAAATCGAAATTTTTTATTTAAGAGCATCAGACGTAAAGAATGAATATAAATTTTTTTTTTTTTTAGTTTCTTATAATTATTAATTGATAAATAAAATAATTATTATAACGCGAGCAGAATTATTTATCACTCGACTGGCCGTACACCATTTTATCATGCTCATCGTCCCCGTATCACTATGAAAGCAGATCGTAATCAGTAATCACCAGTTTGTTAATAATAATATTGAATTTTTATTTAGTACATTTTTTTTTCGACAAAAAAGCTCACGCAAATGTATGTTATGCGGTATAAAATAGTATGGTGACACGGTATTAGAAGATAGTATTTGCGTCAAAGACTTACTATATCACGTATGATTTTCTCAAAAAGGAAATCCGCTACTTCTTTTTGGCTATTAAATTACCTATCAACAGTACACAATTGTTTTTTTATTTGAATATAAAAAACCTAATCCAAATCAATTTCATTCAATAAATATGCACCAACGTTTTTTGGAAAAACTTTCTTTTTTTAAGCTTGCAATAGTGGTTTTGACTTTACATATTTTAAATAAAATACATGCAGTATAATGAACTACTTTATAAATTACTGGTTTCAGGTCTATTCAAATAATGAAAAAAAAATCCTCTACAATGGCTTAAAATTATTAATTATTTTTATTTTTCGGTTAAAATTGAAAAAATACTGCGTTATATTCTATTATTAGGTATTTTGACCCACTTCGGATAAAATTTTCCGGTAGCTTATGTTCAAATTAATGAACGGAATTTCTTAACAGAAAATATGTTGCATGACAATAATGCCAAAGGAAAAATACCGGATAAAATTCGGCCAATATATTACGTCAAATATATATATTTTATCACTTCGTCTCCAATTCATCTTGTCTGATATCAAATTGTAATTAAAATAATTTTTTTAAAAATGCAACAAAAAATTCCAACTGTAATTATTATCGGTGCAGGTCTAGGAGGCCTTACTCTTTATCATGCTTTGATTAAGAATAAAGATAAAAAAGAATTCAACGTGAAAATCTTCGAACGAGAATCCGGCCCTCAAGGTATACACATAAGTATACTATATAATTTTTTCATAATATTTTTTAACAACTAACTTGAATACTTCTTCCATGTAAAAATTGAAAGCTCGATGGCAAGGATATCATATAGGCATAAACAAATTTGGAGCTCGATCTCTTATAAATTGTATTCCTTCATCGATCGCTTTAAACCTTCCAAAAGCAATGCCAAATCCAGTTTTTAATGTAGAATATCATGGATTTTCACTCACCGATCATACAGGAAATCTACTATTAAGACCTCCAACTAAACAAGTTAAAGATGTTTACGAAGTTGCAAATTTATCTGTCGGTTCTTCAATAATTATAACTTGTCGTGATAAACTTAGAGATGTTCTATTAGAAAATGTACCAGTTCAATGGGGTAAAAAATGTATTAGATATGAAGAAACTGATGATGGTGTTTGGGTACTTTTTGAAGATGGTTCAAAAGAATTTTGTGATATATTAGTTGGTGCAGATGGTATCAATTCTCCAGGTAAAAAAATAATAAATTAATATCATTTATTTCTTTTAATTTCAATTAATAATTATTTTATTTCTTTTACTATCTCTTTTAGTTCGAAAACAAAAATTACCAGAATTGCAAATTTTTGATTATGGATCAACCATGGTAATTGCAAATGTGGATGCACCTAAAAATCTTTTAGACAGATTAATTACTAAATTCAATGGAAAAGGTATAATTCAATCTGTTGGATTAAATGGAGAAACTACGGTCACTCTTTTTCGTCTTATTCCAATAGAGAAAGAAAATTATAAGAATAAAAATGAATCTTATTATAGAGCAACAATATTTTTTGAATATCCATCTAAATTAGATGATGTTGAACATGATAAAATTAAAGTTGATGATAATGATCCTGCATCTGTTGTCGATCATGTTAAATATATGATTCGAAAATTAAGACCAGAATGTGAGTTAACTAACGTTATATTGGAACTATGGGACTTAGTTCCTAAAACGACTTCTGATCCATCTAAAACTTACAATCCTATACGAAGAAGAAAGATGCAAGATATTGACCCATTATCTGTTAATACATGGACGAGTAATAGAATTACATTATTGGGAGATGCCGCTCATGCTATGAGTCCTGTATTAGGATTAGGAGCGAATAATGCTATTGAAGATGCTGAAGTTCTTTCTCGAGCATTACTTAATTATTCTTCAGAAAATTATATTTCTTGTATTAAAGAATATGAAAATGATATGTTAAAACGAAGTTCCGCTGACGTACTAAAATCTCGATTTGTTGAGATAAGAAACACTACTCCAGTTGGATATATTGGTTGTTTTTTTAGAAATAATATGTTGAGAATTACAAATGCTATTATGAAATTTTTCGATTATAACTTACTTGACAGAAAGGATTAAATATATAATGTAAATTTATTATACATATTTATAATATATAGTATTTATTTATTTATTATATATATAATATATTGCTTTTTCATAATACATCAAATCTTGCTGTTACAATCTATTAATAAATTCTGACCTGAGATGCGACTAATGTTTGAATCTTTAATTTATTATTTATACGTGCACATACGGTATGTTGGTTAATCCCGACGAGTTTTTTACGCTGAAAAAAATTAACACGTGATTTAGGAATTCAATAACACATGACGAAAACAGTAAATTTTTAAATCCTTAAAATTTAATTTATTATTTTTTTTTGTCTGACTATTCGAAAAGATTTAATTTTGTTTGCAATGGATAGAGTATATGTGGAGAACTTTCCTTATATTTATTTCACTGAAGTTATTTCTGGAAAAGGAATTTCTTTTGTATCCGATATTTATAATATTGGCATACTTATGTGGGAAATTTCATCTGGACATCCACCATTTATTAATAAACATAATTATGATCTGCGATAAGAATAATAAGACCAAAAATAATACCCAATGTTTTGGGTGCAGATCGCTGGTATTGTAATCTTTCCGGAAGAATAAATGATTGCCAAAAAGAAAATAATGAACAGATAAATTCCATTATAAATCCTTTCGTTTTTAAGAACTTAGTGTATGATCTAGAAATTCCTTTTTTGGGAATTTAGTCAGTCAAGTATATGTATTTTAACCTGGACCAGAAATGTAATAAAAGGACAAAAGGTAAATATTACTATTTTCTACTATATCAGATATGAATTGATTTTATTATAAACAATTCATATTTTTATTATATTTGTATACATAATTAATATGTTTTATACTATAATATATTAATATGCAACTTACCGTAGCTTTGATTTATAAGAGGATAAATTGATAATTATTTGGCATGATCAAAAATTCATACATGAATGATCTTTGAATTTCTAAAATATGTAATATAAATAGCTAATATTTAATTTTATATAATTATATAGATAATAAAGCAAAGAATAAAACTAAAAGACTTAATTTTAAGTGGCAGTAAAGCAATTTTGTAATAATTAATTATTAATGAACAAAATGATGACTGATAAGTTATTTTTTTTTTTAATAAAAATGAAATAAGATATACCGTAGTATTTTATAAAGATTTCTCAAAAGTCAGAAACGAACGCGTACTGACTTATAATCAATTTATAATTTTTTTATTTTAAAAAATATATGTATAATGTAGAATAATAAGAAAGATATCAATTGGTTTATATTTATTTTTAATCAAGTTTATAATAACGTAATATTTATCTTAAGTAGAAATTTATGATTCAAATCTTCAAACGAAAATATTTTTGATGATAAAATTTCATGATGCGGCAATAATGTTAATATTAATATTATGGTGGATTGTTGTCATGTGCCACGCAGTAGCAACAATTGACAGCCAATTATTCAACACCCACCGTAATATTGAATCCTCCGTGCCTAATAGCTCTATAATATTAAACTTTACAATAAGACTTTGAAAAATGACGCTCAATCCCGCTTGTTCGATGTTTTACGTGTTACTGTTTGATAATTTTCTTCAAAATAAATAATTAATTAGTAAGATATTTTAGAATTTACAGTATAAAGCTGCAATATCTTTACTAACAGGTTAATCATCGCCTATATATTTAACATAAAAACAGTAATACATAAGTTATTTGATTTAACAGCAATTTATTTAAAATAAACTATCCTAAAACTATTCGAAAAATTTAATTAGCCTTAATATTGAAATTTTGTGTGTATATTGACGCATTATCATATCGCACTTTTAATATTTACATAAAGAAATAAGTACACAAAGTCAGGCGTATGTCACAAACTCACAATTACTTAAAATAATCATGTCGGACATAAAATTATACTATTTTAATCACAAAGCCACTTTTGAGTATAATACACTAATGGCTAAAGGCGCGATTAACATCACATCATCAATTATGTTAACCATCATTTTTTTACTCATAAGTCACGACTCACGAGTCTCGATTTTATAAACTATATATGTTCTCAATATATAAATATACCATCAGTTTTCTCCAAAAAAAAACACTCCCTTTTTTTCAGAACGGTCTTGAGTTATGGCTTCCAAGCTATCTAGTTGTAATCCTAGTTGTAATGTACAATAGTAGGAAATAGTAGGAGCAATAAAACGTACTCCAGTTGGCCAACGTTCTCAACCACCTACCACTCACCTACCCCAACATTTCCTCTGAAAAGCAATAGTGATAATAGTCAACAGACTCTGGAAACTCATTCCTTCTGCAAGAAAGAAAGGCGTGAAAGATTTTGAATTAGGTAAAACCCTTGGTGAAGGTTCATACTCTATGGTATTATTAGAGATACGCTCATTCAAAATTTTGAGATAATTTTCTCTGGATAGCGGAAATTATTTTCTATTTTGTCAAAACTAGACAGCCTCTTTGAATACGGATTTTGGCAAGTAAAAAATAAGATTTTTTTTCTTTCTTTTTTAACGAACTTTATTAACAGTTGTGTCTTTGGATACGTGAGATAAGATCTTTATGAGAAGGGATTTTACGAAATGGTTGAAAATGTTTTGATTTTTCTTTTTAGACAGTTAATAATATTGGTTTTTCTAGCGTAATATCACTGCCGCAGTACTGCTTATGGAGTTCTTGAAAAGAGTACATATCAAGTATTAAAAACACGAAAAAAAAACTTATGTTTATATTTGTTATCTGATCTCTTATCATTGTATCATTGGATGTATTTATTCCTTTTTTTTATTTACCAGTTACAGCACTATTTTGTATTGAAACACTAGACAACAGATGAAAGCTCTCTGAATGGAGTATTACCAGTTTTCTAGATGTGTGTAAAATGGCTCAGGAGACTTTAAAAGAGGTGTGTATTTTTTTATTTGCAAAGTGAGTAACTTCCTAAGCTAAAATTAGAACGGATAACTCATTGAGTCGGGGAGTTCACAAATTTTACTTAGGAGGGTACTGGATTTATTTGTTTGGGTTGGGTAAGGGTGAGCAAAGTGGGTAATTCCT